AGATTAATTTCTTTCTATTTTTAGTAGAGACGGGGTCTCGCTCTTGCTCAGGCTGGTCTCGAACTCCTGAGCTCAAACAATCCGCCCGCCTAGGCCTCCCAGAGAGCTAGGATTACAGGCGTGAGCCACCGCGCCCGGCCATTCAGTAAGCATGAATTAACCACTTAAAGTACGCAAAGGTGAGTGAGACACATTCGAGAGGACAGAAATAACAGCAGAGTGACTGATAGATATAGCTAACGTTTACCACACTCAGACCATGTGCTGGGTCTGCACTGAGTCCTTCTCATGTGGTGACTCACTCAGTTTTACGGATAAGAAAATGGCGGCGCTGTGGCTACATGACTTGTTGAAGGTCATGGAGCTTATAAGCGGTGGGGGTGGGATTCAAGGTCAAGCTGCTTTGGCTCCAAAACCAAACCACCACCACGCTGCACCACTACACAACACGACACAACACAACGCTGTTACACACCACAACAGAGGAGGGTGTGCTGTGTTAAATGAGCGCAAAGCCAAGCACAGAAACCTGCGTAGGGAAAGGGTGCGGAAGGACTTAAAGAAAGACGATCTTCCAGCAGTACCTGGAACAGGACCAGCCATCTGTCAGGCTGAGCATTTGGGGTGGGAGGGAGAGGCAGGGGGGAGCATTCTATGCAAAACAAACAAAACACCCCAAACAAACCCACATAAAACAGAAACAAAAACCCAAGTCTATGTGCAAAACACTGACTGCTCCACGGGTGGAGTCCTGGCGTGATCGCTGGTTCCGCACCTACTCCTCACCTGCACGCCTTATTCGGTCCTCCCAAGGGCCCAGGGAGAGGTTCGACTAGCGTTCTCACTTTAAGTGACTTATCTGAGGCTCCACAGCGATGTGGTGGGAGGAGGATCTGAGCGCAGATCCATCCGACATCAAACGCTCGTCCAAAACACGTGCTACGTGGCGCTAAGTCCGTGTGTCTGGCTGGGGGATACGCGGAGGCTCTGGCAGGAGAGACCCCGGGTGTGGACAGACTGTGCTGAGGATGCTGAACTTGAATGTACCAGTGACAAGAAGCACTGAGAGCTTTTAAGCAGGGGAGTGATGTTTTTAAGATGAGAGAAAAGATTCAGGACAGGACGAGGAGATTAAAAGTAAGAAAAAGGTAGGGGGATCATTGAGAGAAAGGCAGATAATTATTTAATCCATTTATCCATTCAACAATTATTTATGAGCACCCAGGCACTGCAGCTACGGTGCGAACGCGACGTTTGATCCGGTCTCGTTCTCATGGAACTTGGAGTCCAGTGGGGGACATAGGCAATGACGAAACATGTAATATGTGTATTATGTAACATTAAAAATCGTGACGAATACTATAAACAGTGAACAGCATTCTGTGAAAGTGAAAACTACAGAGGGCGAGGTTCGATAGTCTGGAGCGGCCAAGGAAAGCTTCTCTGAGGAAGCGAACGTCTAAGCAGAGACCTCAAGGACGAGGAGGAGGCCTTCCGAAAAGCAAAGGGAACCACGTGTGTCGGGGGGGGGGGGCATGTCGGGCGCCATTTCTAGCAGAGAAAGCGTGATGGAGAATACGTGTACGTTTGACGTCCCTTTGAACCTGGGAGGCAGTGAGGATGGTATTGTAATCTCTGAAGAACTGAGAAATAAGATAACCTACTCGAAGTTAGACAGTATGCTAGAATCTGGTTGGAAACTCCAGACTTCTTACCACTGTGACCAGCGCTTTTCCAAGGCACCCCACTGCCAATCACTGTGGTGCTAAGTGTGTGATTTGACTTTGAAACAACAGG